GTACGCGGAGTAGCAGCAGTAGCGAGTGCATGAATAAAATACGAAATTAACGTTTTATCGGCAAAGGTGTTATGTACACGTGGCCGGGCACGAGTATACATGTATGTAGCAGAGGAGCTTTTGCCATTATATACATAGGCCGCCGCCGCCGTAGAGGCGCGTGCACAGAGAGCAGCAGCACCAACAGCGCCCGTTAAAACGATTTGCATAGATGCTGCTGATGCTGAAAATTGATAGAGTTGCGTGAAATGTTAGGCTGCTGCAGCACATATAGCACGTGAGAGAGAGAGAGCGAGAGAGGTCACTTTATAGGTCAACGAAAATGACGAGCGAGTGCAATTTAAATTCAATATCGAAGTAATAGTAGCGAGCGCGAGAAGCCTAGAGCGAGACAGAGAGCAAGAGACCATGAATTATATATGCCTGTATAGCTAATACTTTATTTACCGATCTCACAATGCGGCCTCGACGTCGCAAATATTTTTCAAAATAAGTTTCAGCATTTAGCAAAGGAACCAAGTTAACGTACGACAAGAAGAAAACACACTAGTACAGAGATAGAGTCATTAATAAATAAAGAGAAGAGGCAACACTTTTGGCCAAACACACGAGACGTTGTCGATTATGCCAATTATGACCGTTAGATGTCACATGCCTTTGCATAAACGATATAGTCGGCTTGTTCTTATAACAAGTTTAAGATTTCAAGTTCAGTTTAAATTTAAATGGGATTGAATTGGAAAATTAATTTTTTTATTAATGTCTGCCTGTTTTGGCATTAATTATTAAAATGAATATAGAAGTAACACTTTTGGCCGAACACACGAGACGTGCGTATAAACAAAATACGACGTATATCGATGTATCGATACATGATCGATAATTCGCAGCCCAAAAGATGCGCACGCAAGTTTTTCTAGCTTCGACCGTCCCAAACGAAATGTCTAACAATGTCGGTTGTGCGCTTAATTTTTGCTTCGAGACATTCGACCAACAATTCGATAACTACTCGATCGAACTCATAAAAAAGTTTACACAGTCCCGTGGCAATCAACGTGGCGAGCAGAGACGTCGCAAATATAATCGCGTAAACGGAAAAACAATCGTGACTATTCAGCCATGGCACGGAATTGACGGATCGACTGCAGCTAACAGGGCAATATATGCGAATATGCGCCTGCGTCGGACAAGTGTACGTGGGTGCAGCGCATCTAGGCGAAAGTCGAATAGCAGAAGAGATCTCGTCGAGCTGCTGCGAGCTCTACTCTAGTCCGCCCGAGCCGCATGCAATAAACTCGCGTTCTCCTCTTTCTCTCTTTCTTGTATGCAACATCGCTCGTTGAACAAAAAGCTCCTCCGCAAGCGAGGGCTGAGCTTTTACGCTCGCGGTATCGCGAGGCAAAGTCAAGTTTACAGAAATGCTCGGCTCTTATGCTTCAGCCACTCTCCCTTCTGCACTTGCCTTTCCGCGCCCCTTTCCTTCTTCTATACTAACTCGGCTACACGTAATGCGAGTTATAATATAGCCTGTCGAGCTGTATGTGCATCCGCAAGAGTCAAGATTTAAAAATCGAGAGCTCGAGTGGCACGTCTCTCTCTTCTCTCTCTATTTCCACGTCGTGTATATATATGCCCGCTTTTTTCTGCAGCAACCGTTTTGAACTTTGATAAGGCAAAGCAATAACAACGACAAGGGCCTCACAGCAGCTAGCCACAAAAGCAATTAAAATTTCTATTATCAAATTGCATATTACGTGGCTCTGGCATTTTTCGCTGTTTCCCTTTTTTTTCTTATTTCCTTTTTTGGTCGAGCGAGTTGACAAATTGAAAAGGACCGGGAAAAGCTAAAAGGGTTGCGGTGAATACTCGCTATATGTATTCGTAGCTCGCTGCGGCTCTTTCTCGAGCTTGCCACACGGATAAAATGTCGTTTTATTTTCGGAACAGCCTAGGCCTTATCTACGAAGGGCGGGAGCGAGCCAAGCTGAGTGAAAGGGAGAAGAGCCCAGGAGGAATGAAAATAAAATGCCGCTTAATATCCGAGTGCGGCTGAGGTGTCTAAACGAGCAATTTGCCAGCTGTAAAGCTCGTCGTCGTCGTTGGTTGCGCGGCCGCGTCGATACGCAGTTCGTTTTCGCGGCATAATTAGTCGCTAGAAGGTGTATAGGAAGCGGCAGAAGCAGCGACGTCGCCGACCGGTCTGCAGGCCGCACGCGGACCAATTAAGATCGGGCTAAATTAGCAATTACAGCGATATTCTGCAGCTAGGTAGCCGCGGTGGCGTAGCTGCAAAAATGACGACGTAGCGCGATAATTGAAAATGCCTCGCAGTCGAGCGACTTGTTTTGCCCGCGTATAATTCGCGGGTTTCTTTAAAGCCGCTCGAGTGATTCCTATTCTCTCTTGGCGACCCTAATAATTGTACGAGCGCCACCAAGTCGAGGTCAAGATATTTCGGCGAATATATTTCACGAGGGTACAGCTGCAGGTAGCTGCAGGTGGGTACGAGATTATTTGGACGCAGTCGCGAATCCGTAGGTATTATATGTTATGTGCTTATAGGTGCAGGGCTGCTTCGTCGAGTGCGCATCGACGCGAGCTCCGGAGAATTCAAATTGACGCGAGATTCGGCGCGAGAGTCGGAGAGCAGATTCGAAGCTGGGACGTGCTCTAACAAGTTTCGACGTTTGCTTCGAGGCACGTGCAGCCGACTCCGGAAGGGTTTGCCGATTGCGACGTTGCTGTCGAGCAGCAGCAGCAATGCTCCGCGCGAGTTATGTGCAGGGATGTAGCGCAGCTGCGTAGGATTCGTAGCGTGTCTCTGTGCTATGTGTCGTTCGAGATGTGTCCGTCGTCGTGCGCAGCGGTCCAAATGATCGAGATCGAGATGAGGTATCTGATCTCCGATCAATGAGTTGGATACGTCGTTCTCATTCGTGCTGCAAAAAGATTACAGCCTAGCGAGTGGCAGCTATTTGCAGTCACGTTCCTTATACGGTCGAGCTCTCTCAGCCGCATCACACGTAATATATATTCTCGAAATGGAAGCGAAAAAACCAATATTCCTTGGGAAATAAAAATAAAGAGTCAGTCGAAAACGTCGCGACGAATCGGTTGGGCGCTCGTGTCACCTGTAGCGGACCGAAAATAGCATTAGCACAGGACTCGCTGTCCCTTTTTGCGAAGGTAGGAGAAGGGTAGCAGCAGTCAGCGAGTCGGAGCGCAAAAAGCTCGACGCAGCAGCGATGTAAAGCTGGCTGCAAGCACGAGTACGCGTACGTACACGAGCTGGTACGTCGCGGAGCGCTTGCGCCGTAACCATATGACCCGGCGTACGCGCCGGCGTATATAGCGTCTACTACTATACCGTGTACTGCTGTCGTATATATATATCGGTATAGAGGCGAGTTTCGTGTGTGTGTATATACGAGGCGCAAACTCTGCGGCAGCGTCTCTACGACTGCGTATATTACGTTTCGTCGCGCCAAGTGTGTGCAGCTGTGTAGCCGCTTACTCACTCTCGCATACACGCGCAGCAGCACCACCACTCGTACACGGCATTGGCATATATATATAGATAGAGAGAGAGCCCGAGAGACTATCATCATCAGCAGTAGGAATCCTCTCGATGCTGCTGCTGCTGCTGCTGCTGGCTTGCCTGACGCATTGCAGGTGCTCGACGACCAATGAACGCGGCTCACCGCCGCTCAGCCGGGCGCAGCGCCGCGCGCGCAACTTTTCTCGTCGACTCGTCGCGCTGCTGCTGTTACCAGAGCTCAGAGTCGCTGCTGCTGCTATACTCGCCAGTCTCGGCTCTCTGCAATCCGCACACGACGACCAACACGACTATTCGCGCACACGTACGCTATACCTCTATATGTACCTTTGCCGCGTACTGCATCTGCCTCTGTGTATACATGCCGTGTACACATACCCCTCTCTCTCTCTGCTATGCAGCTTGTATGCGTGTATATGTGTGTGGATACATACTACATAGTAGAGTCGCGCGGCAGTGCGGACTGCGCCGTCGCATACCGACTGCTATATCCAACGCACAGCACACACACAGACATTTCGGACGCGTGCTCGTGTCTGCGTCGTCGCTGTGTGTATATATACGAGTTGCTGCGGCCCGTAAACAAGCAGTAGTAGCGGCGGTGCACATCTGCACACGACCGCGCCCAGAGAGCATGGCATCTCCTCCTCTTCGTGCGCAGTCTGCACTGCAGCAGCGCACCGAAACAACGATTCGACGATAGAGCCTCGAACTCGATGAGAGATCGACACGAACGACCTTTCGATCGTCGCTCGAGCTCGTCCTTGCGGCTCTCCTCTCTCACCCTATAGCTGCGAAACACGTGGCCCTTACCGATTTTCCTTCCCTTACCCTACGCGATTGCCCTTCCCGACTCGATGCGTCGTCTGCATGCTCGCGACTGCTTTGCCAGTCAGCCGCGTGAAAGCTCGCTAACTGAGCTTTTTTCGAGGCAATTTTTACCATCTTTTTCTCTCGACTTCGTCACAAATGAGATGAATGATATTTATGACGGCTGCAATTACGAGCTTGCGAGAGAAGACTTTGCGTAGCTGCAGAGGTTTTGTCCGACCAGAAAAAGCAGCAACATCCCTTTGGCTACACGCGACGAAATTCGAGGCGCGCAAGCTTTCTCGGCTTGCCACTTCTAACTATATCGTGTAGCTGTGTACTTGTATTATACAAGTTGTATACATGAAAGCTGCACATATTCAATAGGTATAGGTGCGTGTAGAGGCACAAAATCCATAGGCAATGTATGCTTATACCTATAGCTTACATAGGTATAAAGTAGCAGCAGCAGCTCCATTATAAGCTAGCCGAGTAGCGGTGTGCACGATCCGTATAAGCGCGCAGTACATATATAGGTATATAGGTAAGCCAAGTTCTGCTGCTGCTTCTGCTGCCGCTGCGGCTATACGTACTGCTCGTTTCGTCGTTGGCGCGCAGTTGCACCGAGGCGCTCAAACATATCGGAGCTTTCGATTCTCTATTCTTGAGCCACTCGACTACGACCGACTCTCGCTCGACCAACTCTTGGCCCCCGCAGTCCACTCACCTACACGCTAAACGATTCCAAAGTGTAAAGTCAGCAAACTTATTCGCACTACTCTATTTTCCCGCACCCTGTCACGCATTATTTTACACTCGTACATTACTCACACACACACACACATCACCACACCATTAGCACCGTTACATGTGTACGACTGTGCGTGCAGTTGCATTTTTACGCAAGTAAGGTTCGCAAAGATCGACCTTTCATCCAGTCATCCGTCCAAGCAGCAGCTCTCAAGCTGTCCAACGGTTGAACTTGCGCGCGCCAAGTCTACGAGTAACGCGTATACAAGGGTGCACACTGACACCCACAGACGTACACATTGTACATCTCGAGTCGTTGGGTAAACTCATAGACGCCTTTTGAGGCCGTCTATTTGTCTATCCACCTGTACACTCGATCATAATCGGTCGTCTCAATCCATGGTATAACGTGCGGTATACGATATCCCTACAGTGCGCGAGTGTATCTGTGATAATACAATACGTGTGCCTGTTGCTATCTCTGTGCTTGCGTGTACCTTTATCCATTCGCGTTAAATTTACACGCACGAAATTCAGAGGCAGAGAAAAAAAAGCTCATACATAAACGTCTTCTTGATCGTACATCTATATAGGCGCAGACAGCAGAAGCACTACAGTTGGAGCAGTCGGAGCCGCGTGTTTGCCAGAGTAGTGCTCCCCCTACACGCGAAAAAGTGCGAACTTGTAGTCTCGTGCGATCTATCCAGAGTCCTGAGATAATACACAGCGGAGCAGTGAATATCGTCTCTCTGTTGCTTGGCCGTCCTGCGCATCTCACGCAAATATAAAAATAACTGCGCGACTCTGCAAAAGAAGAAGCAGCAGCAGCGTACAGTATTGAAATCAACGAAAGCCAGCAGATATTTGAGCGTAGAGCGCGCGCGACTTGACAGTGCCGAGCAGGTAAAACGCACGAGCCAATCGAGCAGGTTTTACCCGACAACAGCGAGCATATAAAACAAGGAGAGGCTCGAGGTCCTCGTCAGCCGCTACTAGCTACATTTTGCCAATTCCTTTTCTCGCTCCACACTTGGTTTTGCAGCAGTGCAACGGCAGCAGTGTGTGCGCGCAAATTTCGATTCATAACCGACGTCGTCGTTCGTAGTAGTACGTCGAGGTACGGCGGCAGCAGCTGCGGCAGCACCAGCAGCATATTAGCAGCAGCAGCACTGGCAAAACCAGCAGCAGCAGCAGTAGCCGGACGGAGCGACTGAAGTTGCTCTCGTGAGTCGTCGCTCGTTTCTATACACGCAAACAGCCGCAGCAGCAGCCAGTTTTGTGCTATATTCTCCGCACATCAGATCTCGACGAGAGACAGCCCAACAGTTGCTCACATCTTTTAATCTTCAACAAAAAACACACTTAACAGAAAATGGTGAGTACAAAATGTCGCCCGCCATGGGTGCTTCTCGGTCTTCTCTCTCGCTTACCAGTGCGTGTGTGCGTGCATCCGTCCATCCGTCCGCCTGTCTCTCTGTGTGCGTGTGTATGTGAGCGTGTTTTTGCATGTCTGTGTGATTGTGTGTGTGCGTGTGCTATGTCGAGGCTATATGTGTACGTGAGTGAGTGAGCTCTGTGTTCATCCGTATACCGCCTATATAGAGAAGCCAGAGCAAAGATTCAAGTTTCGCTCTCGCATCGCCGATGATGCTGATCTCGGCAACTACGAGGCCCCCCTGCACCCACACACGGAGCCTCCTGCATATATAGAGCATTACGCTATTCGGAAACGTGCGACGCAGAACACTCGAGAAGAGAGGTTATAGGCCGAGTTTTTCGTGCGAAATATTCGCTACGTATCAACACATTCCATTCGCCGGTTGGCTTTTCGCTCGCTCCGTCTCTGTTTCTCTCTTTCCCTGCTCTCGCTCCTGTTCTCACGCTCGCTTCTGATCGTTACAGCCCGACTCTGTGGCCAATGTTTATGTAGGCTCGTGTGTCGGGTCGGGCGCGCGCCAAAGTCCCTCGCGTACATTTCGCCTTAGCCTCGTCCGCGCGCGCGATACTTTCTGTCGTATGAATAGCTACAATACTATCTCCCATCGTATTTCATCGGTATTTTACATAAACACATATTCAATGTCCGTTGAACGAGCATAAGCCATCGAGGCTCCGAATCAATCGTCAATCGTCATCTGCCTGCTGCCGTCTGTGTGTGCGTCTCTCTCCGCGGCACCTCTCTATATTTGCGAATGTGTGCGTGTCTGTGTTTGTGTGTGTATATTCGCCCGCTTCTACAGATGTGTATATGCGTTTGCGAATCGTGATTCGTGAGTGGCAAATGGCAAATGGCAATCCTCTCGTTATCGTTGTTCAAAGTCTCGCTGCCGAGCGATTCTTATCTCCATACGGACTAGCTAGTAAACAGACAATTTTGCGACTCGGCGACATTTGTTTCCGACAAATAATTAACGTGTGTTGTATGTAGCCTCTTCGCAGTCGTCGTCGTCGTCGTCGTCGTCGTTGCGCGTTCAGCATGTGTGTATACATACACATATTGTGATTTACACTTATACATACAGAGACTTTTGCACTGAGTAGCGCGAGGTTTGTAACGGTTATTCGAGATGGCGCGCGAGACTCGCCGCTCAACGACCCGCGCCCTGCTCGTCTGATATTATAATGTGCTCCAAACGTGCCGCATTATTATGTGCACGATCGTATCGTACCTCTATTTCCTGGACCGAATCGACTCCGAGTCGTACGTCTGGCTAATTGTTTACTAAACACGCGTGTTTACCTATTTCCATAATGACAAGCGGCGCGCCTATACCAATTTACTGTGTGTGTGTGTGTGTGTCGTATCGACAGTGACGCATGCCGGCGCCACAATCATTGGATGTTCTGTGCGATAAGCGACTCTTGTCTGAGCGCTGTAATTCCTGGCCGATGGCGCGTAGACACGACAGATTCGCACATTTTCAGTTTTCACAGGATTTTTAAATTTTGTATACATTTTCACGAATCAAGCAGTGCCGAACGTCGCGAGACCTTTTCTCTCTCTCCGAAACGATAGCCATACGTGTACTGGCGCGATACGAGCGAATCGAGTTCAGATACATATCGAGAACTATCCGGATTCTCGGCGGGGAGCTAATAAAACTCTCGGGTAGGTTCAACGACGAGTTGCTCTCCGGCTATTATACATAATCTCGCACATATGTGCTCGTAATTCGTATCGATGACATTTCGTGACACCTTTATAATATACTCCGCCGAGTATAACGTGTCTTATTTACTTAATTACTCGCCGGGACTCTCGAGGCCATTGCTCCACTTTCTCTTCTTTTCGCCTCGGTCTACGCGCTGCGATCCGGTAATGGGGCAAAAAAATATGTAATGAAAAGAGAGAGAGAGAGAGAAATAGAAAAAGATAATGCTGTCGTGCGCTATGCGGGTGCGGCGGATGTACTCTCGTGTACGTCCAGCTTGGGAATCGATTCAGCCAGCTATTTTTGCCCATTATGTATCGAAAAAGAACAAGACAAAGTAGTAGCAAAAGCATAAGAAACCCTGCATGACTGCGGCAGCATCACTTGTCATCTTTGTTCTCTTCTTCTGCTAGTCTATATGTGTTGATGATGATGACGACGACGACGACGACGACGACGATGATGCTCGGAACATGGGAAAACGTCTGATACATGTGTGCAAAACACGCATACGTGCGTCTAGGCGCGCACGCGGTCTCAGCTATACACGCGCATAACTAATTGTAACGAGTGACTCGTAACGGGGCCTGCACATTTGCACGCGCTCTTCTTCGTGCGTAACGCAAGACTCGTTAACGTACATCTTTCAATCACGGGCCATTTTCGGTAAAAAAAAAAGCATCTGAAAATGTATCGTCGAAAAGCTTGGAGCTACCAAATTGCGCCGATACAAAGCTCTACAGAGCGTAGCAGTGTAACAGTCGACGAAGGTAGCAGCAGGAGCAGCAGCCCAAGCGCGCCGAGAAGGAGGAGAGGAAGTGACCGTGCCGGCGATCGATGTGTACTCATTATATACGGGAGAGATACCTTCGAGCTAAACCTTTTATAGATTTTCTATTATGTACACGAAGATGGGCGGCTCGGCTCGGTCTCGGTGTTTTTTTTTTCTCTCTCTTGTCTTTTTGCTCTTCCCCTCTGCGTGGCAGTTGGCGCGCGCGCGCGCCCAGTGCAATGTATTCGAGAGAAGAAGAAAAAAAAGCGCGTCATCCCTTTGGAGCTCGCGCGGTAAATTTAACGACACGGGGGTTATTATATTATACTCGGTTGCAGCGCGTGAAATCGTTAGCGGCGCGGCGGTCCCGCGCTTGCATGCACTCTTACGATATACGCCGTAATGTACTCGCTTGGCGTATATATACTTTGCTTGGCAATAGAAAAGAAATAAAGCTGCGGGCCGCAAGCTCACAAAAGGAGCCTCGTTTATTTTCCTTTGGCGTTTTTATAATCGTTAACTAGTCGATATATTATAATCGAGCTGCAGGAGTGCAGGTGCAGTGCGAGAGAAAGAGAGGAAGAGAGAGAGAAAGAGAGAGAGAGAGAGAGAGCAGTGGAGTTGCAGCGCTGCGCGTTATTATACGCGTGTTATATAGAGGCAAGCAGAGGAGCGAGAGCGAGTGAGCCGAGAAGCTCGTTCATAGTCGCGTTAATACGTTGTGCTGCGCGCTGGCGCAAAGGGGTGGGATGAGGTCGCGCGCACTATGCACTTCTCGCTCGCCTCGCTCACACAGGGGGTGGTTGCTGCTATAGTACTGCTGGTGGCTGGTGGTGGTGGTGGTGGTGGCGCTGCTGTTACTTGCCTCGCTATACAACACGCAGGGAGGGAGGCGCACACACCGAGCTTAGAGACTTCCTCGAGAGTTTCTGTACGTTGTACGTTGCACCGACGACTCTGTCTCTCTCTGTCGCATATATAGATATACAGTCGACACGCGTTGGGGTAGTACTGTACGTGTGTGTGTGTGTGTGCGTTGCAACGCGCGACTCGAGAGCGTTCACTCGGTCGAGGGATCAGTCGGCATTTGTATTTCGACCTGCGACCTGTACGACGCTCGACCATTAATCGCAAAGACTACTCCGTGTTAATAGATACGACGAGCACAAGTGGCCAGTGTCGGTGTTGCTAGTGCGCACAACTCTCTCTCCGTCTATTTTATCTATATATTTGATTAGACAGATTTTGCGCGTGTAGGCAGCCCTCGACGCTGCGCTGCTGCTGGTCGTCGTCGCCTCGAGTCACGTATACGGTCGAGGATAGAGGTGTAGCAGAAGGCGCGATCGGTCGCCCGCAAGTGTGCGCGTGTGATATAGATACACCGAGGCACACACTCGCACACACCCACATAGCAAGCAAGCAACGCTCGTGCTCGTGCTCTCGTACACACACGTAGCCTATACAGTCCTGCGACAAGTGCGACACTTGTGTGATAGTAGATATTATTGAATCGTCGTGCGGTGTGCCCGTCGACGCCCTGCCGTTTGTACACAGTGTGTTGTGATAAAGCCAGCCGAGCAGCACTCCGTTATAACCAACTTTTAGACTTATCCACGCAATCATCATGGTAAACAGCAGCAAACTTATCAATTTTTATATACTCTCCTCACCTCTTCTTCTTCTTCTTTTTTTTCCACTTATTTTTCGCTCTACTTAACTAGCTCCGTGTGTGCGTGCGCCTGGGTGCATGTGTGCGAGTGCGTTATTTACTTTTCTTTTTATTGTTGCACATATAGGTGTGCGCCTGGCTGTCGCGTGTTTGTGCCCGTTCGTCTGTGTACGCGCGCGCCCGTTTGTGTGTGTGTGTGTATGTGCGCCAGGAAGAGTCTCGCCTCTGGCGTTTCGAGCTCTGCACTGGCCTCGCGATCGATAGCCTCGCCTTTGAGCCTCTCCGTGCTCGGCTCGTGCTCGTAGCCGTGTGCAGTCTCGTTCAACCGGGCATCGTAAAAGTGCGACGTAGCGTCGGCCACCTCCTTGGCCTCGCACGTAATCGGCATCGCCCGCCCAATGAACTTGCCCCCCTGCGAGATCGCCAATGGACACTCTTGCCGTGCGATCTTCGAACGTCGAGTTCGGGAGAGCAGCGCAAGGGCTGTCCGGGTGTCGTTGAAAGAGAAAACGAAATGGTTCATGCATAGGGGGTAAAACACGTCGACGCAGCGGAAGAAGCCTCGATACTCGCAAGATCGAGAGCTGTTGGATCGGTCGCGCGAGTAGCAGGTGCCAGGGTGAACGCTATACGCGAACGCTGGCTACGTGTGTTGTTACACAGCGTTGCGCGCAACCAGCAGAAGTAGCAAAAGCAGCAGCAGCAGAAGGGGAGCAAGCAGCGCTTGGCTTGCTGACCCACTTTCGTCGCTTGCGTCCGGATTTTCCCAGCCCCTCGCGTGCCTCGGCTACAACGCATACACTCACACGGACGCACACAGGCTCGCGTGCGCGCGCTCCACTCCCTTTTTCCCTCGCCTATATGCATCCACCCCTTATCCCTACCTGCCTCCTCCTCCTCCTCCCTACCTCCCTCTATCTCCCTCTATCTCCCTCTATCTCCCTCTCGCTCTCTTACACACGTACCAAAGCTTCCTCGTATATTCGTAATTGTAATCGTCATTTTCTTATGCAAAAGTCCGCGCTTTTTCTCGGTACATTCGATAAAATATACACTCGATGGAATTTTACATAATATGCCAATGAGCGATCATCCCACGATGTTTCCTTCGACTTTTCTCGCTCTATCTTTCTCTCGGACTCGCTTGCTCCGCTTCGTGCTCTCTCCGTCTTACTCTCGCAGCGGTAGCAGCTAACTGTATACTGTGTATTGATTTTCGCTGTCGCAGCGCTTTCCCCACATACACACACACACACACACATAGACACACACGCGCGAGCAGGCGCTTCAACACACATGCACACACAAGCTCGGAGCTTGTGCTTCGTTCTCGACTCTCTGTACAATACACGTATACTCGCACATACAGACCGAGTTACGCTTGAGCGTAAATCGACGAAAGCTCCGAGCTTTTCCCCCCCACAACTTTTCGAGTATTTTCCCTTTTGTTTTTGTTGTCGTTGTTTTCGCCAGTTCGTCGTATTAAATTAATACCTAACGAATGCCAACGAAGGGGGTAAATAGTGCCGAGTAATGAGACACGTCGAGTAAACAACCAAATCGCTCCTATGCGTTTGTGTGTGCGCGTGTGTGTATGCGAGGCTACGTGTATGTTCGTGTTTACACGATATAGGCTCTCTGGCCTCTCGTTCCCTCAGCGTATATAACGCGTATAGCACGAGCCCCCCCGTGGGTGGCTACTACTACACTGCATGTAGCAGCAGCATACATCAGGTGTTTTGTTTGTCATGCGTACACAGGGCGTATTATGCATCGCTTGTAATCTATTATTTCGCCTCCCAGTGCCCAGACGAGAAACAGATTGAATTTTACGCAATTAATGCCTCGTTAAAGCCCCGCGCGCGTCTCAATCTTAAAAAAAGATTGAATTACTCGTTTGCGCTCGTTTACGAGGCTTAACTACTCTTGCTACAGCACGGCGAATCATTTGCCCAAGCTTTGGCCGAGTATCGAGTGTATCTCTTTCGTGTCGAAAAAAATCGATGCCCTTTAACGCGATAAAAAAAGTTGTTATGAAAATAATGAAAAAAAAAGTAATGATGATAAAAAGGAAAAAATAACACACGACCCACGGCTTTGTGTTTATACACACACACCCGTGCGCGGTCACTCGCTCGCTCGCGTTCGTTTGATTGTACACCACCCAATATTATGATCTCGCGTCGCGTTATAATGTGTCATCGCTTTTGTCGTCGTACCTTATGCTCGCTCGCGACGCGTCTATCGCTTTATCAGAATTTAATCTTTGTAAAAGCTCCCCGGCATGTGTATCGCTTCTCTCTCTCTCTCTCTCCGATGCGTGTCATCGTTCTGTGTGCGCATACACACCGGCTTGAATTATTAGTTTTATCGCTTTCTTCCGCCAACGTTTACGGGTATCAACTTATCTTGCCGTATCATCGATGCCTTTTTTTTCATTTTCTAGCGCGCGCGTGGGATTAATTTTCTTGAATTTTCAGCCTGTATACACGAACGCGAGGGCTCGTAGAAATTTATACTCGCAGTTTTTGTCGGTAACAAGAGATCAAGGAGAGAGAGAGAGAACACGATCATTTATAATTTTAATTGCATTTTGAAAAGCTCCCGAGTTTTAATTGCACACTGGTAGCCGCCACCCTACAAGTGAGCTTGAAAAACATAAATTTCTCACGTCTCGAGCTTTGAAAAATTACGCATAAATTAACGACAACTAATTTTCTTATCTACAAATTTACAGTATAGTATATCGTGCAAAACAAGCCTAAAGCGAGATTTTAAATTTCCTCGACGAGGTTGTGCGTGTGCAGCTATTAAATAATAAAATGTTTACATCGCGTGTGTTTCGATAAAAGTAGAATACATTCTCATTATCAGTTTAGCATTATTAACTTCTTGCTCTAGCATGTGTGTATTTTATCGTGCAGAATTTACACGCGCGTGACACATAATCGTCTGTTGCCTCTCTTTCTTTATAATCCGAAAATCATACCCTATAACTCAAAGACTCGTACGAGCTTTAACCAATAAATTTTCAGACGAGGAGGTGCATTTGAAAGAGACTGAAAAGTACGGAGCACTGGTGAATCGTTTCTTCGCAAACGAGTGTCTTCTTTCTCTCTTTTTCTCTTTTCTCTCAGTCCCTCTCTCTCTCTCTCTCTCTCGTGATATAATCTATAAAAGTCAGCGAGAGACGAAACGAAATTTTTTGCATTGTCAGCGCTCGAATTTAGAGTTTGTGTCACGTTGCACTCGGCCGATGATGGGTGGATCTCGATAAGCACGTTTGAAAATGATTTCGTCAAAGTTTATTAATTCGGTTTTCTCGAGCACGTCCGACTCTTTATTAATGTATTTTTGACGATTCCCCGCGTCCATTTTGCTCGCGGCTCGTATGATTCATTAACGAGCCATAAAGCAGGTAATACCCCGTCAATGACGAATTCGAGGCAAGGTATACTCGAAAAGGCGTTGCGGAACGAAGATTTGCCAGACGAGTCGGGCGTAGAACTGGGATAACGATGTAAATATAGAGAGAAATCTTGAAAAGTTTTTGCAAAACGTTTCGCTTAAATTCTGAGAAAAAAAAGGAAGAAAACGTCGTGAAGCTAGAAAGCACGCCACCCTGCATTTCGGCCGATCCGATGTTATTTCTCACATTAAATTGAATTCGAGTCACGGAAGAACGCAAATATCCTTGAAAAGTTACTCATGCGATTTGGCGCAAGGATTTTTTCTTCGCCAAAAGCTTATTATCTTTTCTCTGATATACATGTTATTCGAAATTTTTTACTTTGAAATACGTGCGCGCTAAGGTCATTATTTAATCAACATTAAACGAAATATAATACATCATGTGGCGTTTGAATGAATGCATAATTGACGTTTTCTTTGTTTTCCTTAATAATTAAAAACGCGTAACACACGGCAAAAAGAGTCCATTTTGAGCTGGCGTACATCACCGTGGCTGATGTGCCGCCACTGTGTACGTCAAGCTTTCAACTTTCCAACAGCTTTTTTTACCTCGGATGTAAAAACTAATCAAACGAGGTCGTAGCCTCATCTCTTAAACAACAGCCGTATATACCACGGTGTTACATCGTGGAGTTGTGCACATGCAGTGGTGCACAAAAAAAGAGTCGAGAAAACCACAAGCGATGATAAATTTATTAACGTTGACGTTCCGACTGACTGGGTGTTGGTTTTGTTTTTTACTTTGCATTTCGACCTTGCGCTTAGAGCAGCAGTAGCAGCTACAACATATAAAGCACAGGAAATATTAGCTTATCGAAGTCTCTCTTTTTCTCTTCCTCTCTTTTCGCGCTCGCTCGCGCGCGCACGTGTTGATGTATGTGGAAGCTCTTGGAGCTATACATCACTTAGATAGGCACTCATAATTTTGCTATAGTCATTTTTCGCCTTGGCTGCATTGTGTTAGACGCTTGCATCGGGCGCTACTGCAAGTGTAGCGATGATAAACGACTATTAACATTCGTACGCGTAATTGTTATTGTCCCAGCGGATACGTAATTGAGTTCGCTGAAAAAAAGGAGAGAGAAAGAGAGAGAAAAAAAAAAGAAAGGAAGGAAAATGTCGCTCGGTACTCTTGTTAAAAATACACCTACTTCCAAAAATATCAGCTCGAGTAATCTTTTTTTTTTTTTTTAATACGAGAACTTTTCTCTCTGGGCGCGCACGTATTCCCCGCGAACGTTTCGTACTCTTTTATTCTTAGCTTGTTGCCTTTTCTCCGCTAGTTTTCACTTTCGCCCCGGCCCAAAAATAATCACTCGTTATCTCTTCTCGTGTGCGCGCGCATATAAGGCGCGATGATGCCTCGTTTTTCACGTTCGGCCCTCTGCTCGCATCGCGTGCTCTTGCCCTTTGAACCGTCGTCCCAGCGAACGAAAAAAAATGAACGAGTGTTTCGTCGATCGTCGACGCCCTGACCTATACCTGTCGCCGCAATTCGAAACAATTAGACGACCGTCGAATTCTCCACCAAAGAAAAAAAACAAACAAAAAGACTGCTTCAAGTCATAATAGACGTATATAATTTGATAATCCGGCTTTATATAGAAGACGCGTGGAGCTTATAGCAAAAGCCACGAACTACTTCTTTCATCAAAGTTTTGCCGCACGCGGTTATATTATTGTGCCACCACGTCGAAAGAAAATGTGCTTAAAAATGTTTATTCTGACGTATTGTGCGCTCATAGTAGTTTTTATTTTTTATAAATAAAAAATGTGCTCATAGCTTGTATGTCTGTGTATTTGTGTGCGCGTGTGTGTATGTGTGTGTTCGTGTAACGGATGGAAAAAAAACAAAGTGTCGCGTCCCCGATGGGCCGTTATTCAATCGGTAGAATCGAGTTACGACTCGTTATCGGCTCCGTGCGATGTTGTGCGCGATGTTGTACGATGCATGTTTTGCCACGGGCGAGGGTCAAATTGCCTCGATTGAGATCTAAAAGTTGTCTTGAATTTGTTTGTTTATCGCATAACGCAGGCCGACCAGCTGACGGAAGAACAAATCGCTGAGTTCAAGGAGGCGTTCTCGCTCTTCGACAAGGATGGAGATGGCACCATTACCACCAAAGAGCTGGGCACAGTCATGCGCTCACTCGGTCAAAACCCAACGGAAGCCGAGCTTCAAGACATGATCAATGAGGTTGACGCTGATGGTAAGACACGTCCACTTCTTTTTTTTTTTGCTCTCTCTCACTCTAACGTCGCTATCACAAGCTCTTACACGTTTTTTTTTTCACGTTGTGTAAGCGCAATTAGACTATATTTATCATTCGCGTTGTTCGCGCATTGTATAACTCGGAGTTGGCGCACGAGCTCGCGCGAGAAACAAACGTGTTGTTGAATTTTCATCTGGTGTAATGAGCCTCTCTCACTCGGCGCGCGCGCGCGATTGTTAACCGTCTTTTTTTCCGCGCAAAATTACACGCTCGCTCGGTCGCGCAAAAATTTGAAAAACGTCAATGTCGAGTGGTATCGATAGCTGATTTTCGAGTAATCACACGCAGGGCTTTGCACAACATTTTCTATTTATAAATGTGTATTATACGCTCACTCTTACGCGCGCACGCGCTCGTGTTTTATTGCAAACTTGCGAAATGCGTTCTCTCGTTCTCTCCTATTATCGATTGAACGGCATAGCTTTGTTATGGCTTCGCGTCGTCTATATCTGTGTGTATACATACCCACACACAGACCAACGCATACTACCACGAACTTGTATACGCACAATCGCACACAAAACCCTAACTCCGTACCTACTTTGCGTTAACTTACCAGCTCGAAAACTAGGCTATAATTAAATATTATTGCTGACAAAAGCTCGAAAAGCTCATATAGTTAACGAGAGAGCGACATGCCAGAGAGAGAGAGAGAGTAAATGAAAATTTTCACTCACTATGTGTTAGCGCGGGTGGCGCAGAATCAGCCGTGCCGATTCACCTTCTTTTCGGAATTCATAAATTTGTAAACATCGATGCAAGTAAATTTAGACGTGACGGTGTCAATTGTATTGCGGTAATTAATGGACAAACAGGCCGAGTCGATAGTTGAATTGGAAATTTAGTAATGCTTTTGAATTGCAGAACGTCGCTCGCTCGCTCTTGGATACGTTTTTTCGTACTGACAAATTTTTTCTCGTTGACGTCAAAGCTCGTATAGTAGTCAATTATTTATTGCATAATTACATCGTATTGCCGCTGACTAAGAGTTACTCAGCGCTAAGCACAAATTTATCGTTCGATTTCTCTTATTTTTTCTCTTTTAAATTTATACTCGTTCGCGCGCGTGAATAATTTCAAAGACGATGATAAATTGTGTTGTTCTCTTTATTCACTTCGTCCATCTATAATTTAGGTAACGGTACGATTGACTTCCCCGAGTTCCTCACTATGATGGCGCGTAAGATGAAGGACACGGACAGCGAGGAGGAGATCAGAGAAGCTTTCAGGGTGTTCGACAAGGACGGCAACGGTTTCATATCCGCAGCTGAGCTTCGGCACGTTATGACAAATCTCGGTGAAAAACTTACCGACGAAGAAGTCGACGAAATGATTCGAGAGGCCGACATCGACGGCGATGGTCAGGTTAATTACGAAGGTAAGGAATCGATTCGATTTTTATTCAACAAAATTTTGCTCTCCATTCGGCATTCTTTAATAATCGTTATCTATGTCTGGTTTTTACAGAATTCGTCACAATGATGACTTCAAAGTGAATCAACTGAAGTGCTTGGGAAAACTCGCGACTTAGAGTGGTGTTGACGTGCTAATAATGAAAAAAGGGATATTTGTAAAAACAACAGCAACAACTTAAACAACAGTTTGAACACAACACACAAGATATTTAAAACAAAAAAAAATTATATAAATATAATAACACACAATGGAGAAAGCGATTTAAAAAACTTCATGAGCATATTACAGGAATACGAAAAAATCCATTTTTAATCATTAAGTAAACGAAAAAAAAATTAAAAATACGTCTCAATCTCTTCAACATAAGCTACAGCAAAATTAATAAGAGTGTAAAAAACAGCAAATTCATTCATGTAACATTATTATTATCATTATAATATATCGAGTCTTGTATCAAGGATGCAAAAGTCTTGAAAGCACGAGATGTAAAATGTCCCGTTCGACATGTATTAATCGTCGTTTTACGATAAGTAATAAGGGCAATTATTATTACTATTTATTATATAATTATTACTGAATTCAGAGTTTACCAGCAAATAATACCTTAGCAAGAATTAAATAATGTCTCATTAGAATGATGATTCATATGCCGATCTGTCGACTATAAATATATATTATGTTAACGGGAACGAGTGCTGAATACGAGTACCCGCGATCGTTAACAAAAAAGTATAATGTCAACCGTGTCTCGTTATGCTATGATTTTTTTTAATTTTGCCGGTTTTATTACATACAACAAAACAGTAACAACAATAAAGTAAATGTTTAATATTTTCCAATAAAATCATTGCTGCTAAGAAAACCAACAAATAGACATATGAGAAAAATTCTGAATATATTGTGTATCGCACTAGGGCACGCAACAACAAACAACTACAATCGAAATGAAGATAACATCATTAATATGACAAAAAAACTTTGCATTTCCGCTTTTTCCTTTCCGAAACTTTTACTCACCCGATTTCCAGTTCACTCATTCCTCTGGATTCTCTTTTTTAACGATAATAATCATAGCTGACTGTAACTGAATTGATTGTAATGTAATTGCGATTAAAAGAGATGAAAAGGAAGGAACGAGCGCTTTTAGTGAAATCGTTATTTTAATGAATATAACAACAAAATAAAAAGTGAATTTAGCATAGTAGATTTCTCCTTCACGCATCTTTGAATAAAGTTTGATGCACTTTGCTAAGTCGTAGGTTGTTTCTTATAAGCGTTACACTAAAAAAGTATTTACGATCAAAAAAATATTAAGATGTCTTAAATCGAATGATGTGTTGTATGAAAGTATTTTTGAGCTATTACGAAGAAGGCACGTAACTGACTATGAGATGCATTGTGAATGGAAGAAAGATGCGAAAATTTTATTTGCGAAAATTCATCAAATTTTGTTCAAAGACAGTGTAATTTTTTAAATAAATATAATGCATATTTAAATAAATTAGAATTAAGTTCTCCCATTACTGTTATTATTGCTATACATATCGAGCTTTCCGATATACCTTTTCTCTTTTACTTCACACCTTCACGCTTATGTAATCGACGGACAAAGTATTTGACAGACGTAGCGTCTTTGTAATATGCGACCAAATGATGGTAAAAATGCGACAAAATTGAAAGTCCAACTGTTGAAGAAAAGTGTTATAACCGATATGTAATGCACGTATACTATTTAAATTTCAATGTGTTATCGAATTGTTTGTCAATCAGAGTAAAATCTTTGAGTTTTGTAATTGTCTTTCTCGTACATTTTTCCTGTCTCCAAACACACTCATTCTAACACTTGCACATCCAATAATTGATATATGCAACGGTATATGCATGATAGGTATATGGTGGAGATTTATCTTAAGAACCTCTCACGACTCGAGAAGGGTTTTCAAGACTAACTTATAACTTGATATACAACTTTTCGCGTAAAACGGACTCACTCGATATTTCATAACGATATCCTAAAGTATAAACTGTGTAGTGTTCAATAATTTTAATTTATCTTTATAATTAAAAACACGCTGAGAAATGTAAAAACGATACACAAGTTATACATTAATATTAATACCAAGTACCGTATCCGTAAGAACTATTTCCAAAGTTCTATCTAAAAAATAAGGAGCAGCAGTGCGAAGCCCAAAGGAGTTTGATATAGTTACAAACGTCTTACATAAATGCCAGTTTTTATTTTATAGTTTAATACACAGTTTAATTAAGTAAGGGTAAAAATGTCTGAAAGTTGACACAAGACCGTATCCACTAATCAAGTAAAAGAAAGAATTTTCCTTGTTTTCGTTTAAATAAAATATCGACTTCTTGCGCTTAAATTACACAATGTTTCCATGCCTTATTAAATGAAACACAACAAAGTTCCATCGAGCTCGTTCGAATTTAAGAAATATTACTAGTAAAATTTTTGGATTGAATTCCAAGGTAACACAGCACCTGAATTACAAATCTCGGTTGTTGACTACCTTTTATATATTGTCTGTTATTAGGAACCAAAAGTCATTTCTTTCACTTTTTTGATCGAAACTAGATAGCGATCGTTTCGTACGTTGAAGTTAATGGTATATTGGGAAAAACCATTAACATCTACTATGAATCTTCGGCATTCCTATATTTAAAAAAAATTTTTTCTCAAATATTCTAAATAATAAGAGATAAAATTATTACAGAAGAGAAAGAGAAAAAAAGAGGAAGTAGGAGCGGTGAATCGCAATACTATCGCATTGAATACATCCGCTTCCTTGTTCACGTCGTTTTTGTTTTCTTTCAAATACCAGAAAAAATGAACAAAAAACGTATGCATCTTGATAAATAAAGAAATTCAAAAAAGAATAGTTGAAAAAAAAACAATTGTACGCTAAAGCCGGTACATTTAAAATCGATCGAGCAGACTATTTAATATAAATAATTAAAACGTCGACACCACTTTTCGTAATATTAACAAGAAAAAATATAATAATAAATTCGAACGTTACGGCGAGAATGGAGCAAGCAAGATTAAGGAAAAAACATAATATTAACATACATATACACAAATCTGTCGTGAGCATGATGTTGATGATGATTATAATGATGATGATGATGATGATGATAAGTGAGAAAAAAGTGTACGTGAGAGAAGTATATATGCGCGCGAGCGAATGAAATTAAATGAAATAATTAAAACAAAACAAAAAAAACAAGAAAATAAAAATCAGTTGGTGCATTTCCAAGAGAATTCAACTGGAGTGAGATTATTGAGGGAAGCATCAAAGAAAAGTGCAGAATTTTGCTTGCAACAACGGATCATTATTTAAACGATAAAAGACTTGCGCGTGCAATTTAAAGCCAATCGAAGTAATTATCAGCCCCAAAACAATTGGGATAGTTACTTCTAAATTGGTGACAATTACAACGCGTCGTTTACATAAAAATAAAAATTGATATATGAAAAAAAATTATATTACATTTAAAAAATGATGCGAGTGCGACATTAAAGAAAAAATAGTGAGAGGAGCTATAACAGATACAATTTTTGCGTGCCGATCGTCGTTTCCAAAGAAACGAGCGAATAAAAAAATTGCTACAATTGCAACGCGGTAACTTACACACGAGTGCATCTTCTAAGATGACGATCGGTGCTTCAGACATAATATATATGTAATATATATTATACATAATTGAATTTAATAAATATGAATTCCTTCATAGTCCTTTATTATAAACTTATAAATAATTATATAATTATTTATTGATATGATGAATTATTACTATTATTATTGATTATTAATATGAATTTTTTGTTTTAAAGAAAATGAAAAAAAAATATTAAAAGAAAGACGACAAAAAGAAAGTGAAAAGTTGATTAGTAACGATACTACACAAATGATGATGATTGAATGCTAAAATTAAAGAGTACATCAATATACGATATCGCATATACGCATAAAATAATTGATAGTTGATGATTGCTGCGGATCTAAGAGAGAAAGTGCGAAAAATAAGAAAATGCAAGTGATAAGATTAATGTATTATCGAGATGACCTAGCTAGCACAGAGAAACAATGAAAGATGACTTAACAAGATAAAATGCTGAAGAACAAAAATGTATCGTAAAATTTTTAGGTCAACAATGACAATGAATTGTTTGTATTTCTTTCCTCCAATGCAGCGGGTAAACGCTCTCATTTATACATATAAATAAATAAATAAATAAATAAAAAAGAACAAACAAACTAATATCAAATATATTTCGGCGATTATTAACTATTACTTATGTATATGGCGAATGATGAATCTTTCAATAAAGCACATGGCATTCTATTCGATTTAAAAACAACGATGTACATCTATCGATCTAATTTTCTTTGAAGTATCAACTAAACTCAGGTCTGCCAATTTTTCTTTTGACTTACAGTCGAGTTATTTTTCCAATTAATTTGTGCAGCAGTTGAATAATTTTTAATGCTTTTTATTGCGTTCGCTTGCCTTTACTTGCTTCCTCGTTTAAAATAATTAGCTGGATTATTTCACTTTTCTCGGTGTTCTTTTACGATAGTACAGTTTCTTTTTGTATACGAAATAATATCAAGAGGATGACAATTCAACCTTTTTTTTCTTGGAATGAACTTCTTCGAAGACGTTAAAATTATCCTTTTCCAATATTGAAAATATATCAATCAAAATCTTCGGCACAAAATAAATCACCAATCTCATTTCATTTGCGTGATAGAATAATTCGTCGTGTGGCGTCCGACTTGTTTAGCATAAGATACATAAACACAGTCGTAATGGATATTGAATATATACGAATCGATTGGTATTACCTGTATTTCCTGTAACGCCGCAACATCCGCTGACGAAACGGCGATAATAATTTTTTTTTAATTTCATAACTTCGATCGATTTATTTGGGAAAAAATGGTAACTGCCTTCACGAAAGTTGAATAGAATTTCAAAAACTCATTTTGCTTTATTCTTTGAAACTACAAATAAAAGTTGCGAGGGAGACAAAACTTTCCGCTATCCGTACCACGCCACATGCCAGGATGACTTTTGTTGCAATTGTGTAGAAAACTTTTTTTCGAAACATATTGCAATATCTATAATTTGGTGCGATTTTATCTGAAATTAACTTTTGTCGCACATCAGATGAGCTATTTCAATCTACAGCACTAAGAAGAGTATAAAGGAATTTGTAATGCTAAATGATTTATGATTCGATTTTTAATATGTTAAAATAATTTATTGGCTTGTAGTATATTCAGAACTGAAAACAATATTAACATTTCAATATTTCCATTGTATAATGCAGTAACATACGTAAAAAATAAAACAAAATCGTATAGCATTCATAAATAATCGTTTATAAAATATTATGTTATGATAATAATATATTATCAAAGTTTATCAAATAATAAATTCTTTAAAACAATCATACACTAAAGATAAACCTAATTAATAACGCAACAACCAAATAAAATTTTTTATTCCTAATAATAAGTTTAACGTACAAAGAACTGTATACTGCATAAGTAGTGTGACATCAAACGATCGATTGCAGTACGAAATTATTCAATAAGTTAAAGTTGCATTTTTTTGTTTCCTTTATTATTATCTTCATTAATATTCAAGTTTCATATTTTTTTTCAGCTTTTTTTTTCTACTTTCATAGAAAAAATGTTATCCTTAGCACCCTCGCACATTTATTGCCATTCATTTCGTTTTTGCGTAGAGTAATTAAAAATAATTTTGTTCCAAGTTCAATGCTCATGAGCATAAAATAAAAGTGGGAGGATAAAGGTGATGTTCGATGTTATAAATAGAGTTTCATAACGATAAAATTTATATTTGAACAAAAAAGATTTTGTTCGTGAATGCTTAGCCAGTATTTTATACAAGTTTTCAAATTTTCAAAAACTACATTACTAATATACCATTTTTGCACTTTAATCTAAGAATATCTCTTTTTTCTTCTCATGTCTACAATATTAATGGTACACAGGAATTAATTTACACCTATGTAGTAAACATAGTCATTTAAAAAATATTAATCTATTGTTTTAATGAACTCCACGGCAGAACAGAATTGCGTCCACCAGTAGCCTTCTTCGCCTTTCAATCTATTACCATAAAAACTATTGACGTATTGTATCGTTGACAGTAATGATGGTGGATTCGTCTAAAACAAAATTACACATCACGATCATTTTATTTTGTATTTTTTTGAAAAATTGTCTGAACTTGGTTTTTAATTGGCTTACTTTAATAATGACGTAGACAAGCACAGGAATGAGATCATCAGCAGCGGGTATACCTCGCTCCGAAGCCATCGACAGGAGATTCATAATAGTAGTAGCGCAGCGTACGACACATTGCAGCTTGTCATGTGGCGTCTTATACGCTGAAATCACCGATAATTCAACTTGAGCCCAAGGCCATGGACACTCGTACAGATAGATTTTGGGTATACGCAAAGCTTGATGATTTGGCGTAACAATTTTCGCTAATTTTCTTATGTGTTCGTGAAATACACTATCCCGATGGATGTCACCGTCCCCATTGGGATACATGGCATTTTGATAGACCATTGCCATGAGAGTTCGCTCTACCATTGTACGCGCTAGCTCCAGTTGTCTATCGTTCGCCACTGAGGACAATTTTTTTATAATAAATAATCAACTTATTTTAATTCAATGTTGCAAATTAGAAACATACCTTGCCAAATGAGATCGTTTTCCATTTCAGTATATAGATTATTTAAGAAGCCATCGACTAAATCTTGTTTCTCATCGGAAACGGTTAATTTTTTGAACTGATCGAAAAATGTTTGCAAAATCTTATCCCACTTGTCTAAGAACACTTTGACACATACTAAAACTAAGTGACTATTTACAGCGTCTCCATCGCATTTTACACGTTCTCCAAGCCTAAAAGTCGAAAAATGATTTTTGAATTGAGTTCGTAGCATTTATATGTTTAAATTCATGACGTTTTTACGTACCGATCTAAATGCGCGAGAGTTGAGAGTAACCCTTGTCGACTTCTGATCAAGTAAGCGATATATGGTGACCGCTTTTGATAATCATCGCCGAGAGATTTGAACAACTTTCTGCAACCATCCTCGTTGAACAAGCGAACACATCGAAGCGTCTCGTGCAAATGAGCTATAAGGGCTCGGTCTTGCAAGTTTATAGCCTCAGCTAGCTGCAGCTGAAGAAAGGCAACCAATTCGTTCTCTTTCTGGGTCCACGAATTTCTCTGTGATCATAAATCATTTGTAAAAATAAAAAAACATTTAAACAGCGAATAAACAAAAAATTAATATTGTTCATTACTTCGTTCATGTTCGTCCATGGAACATGTTGAAGGTCAGCGGTGCTGAGTACCATACGCAATTTTCTTTTGGCATCTGCGAAGGCGAACGACATCTCGACATTGTTCGGATCGATGAGTACCCGCTCGTCTTCAATTTCTTTAGTTCGCGATTGTGTACTTTCAATTGACGTTGTATCACTATTGGCACTCGGTTTTCTACGATACTTTGCTAGTATGTCATCTGTGGTGTCTGAAATATTAAATTTTTTTTCACTTGATCTTGACTTTTCATCTGATTTCTGTTATTTACAGTTTTTAATTTTAATTATCTTATTTTGCACAAAACACTTACCACTATTTGCGCTACACGTTGACGTGGTATCTTCGGATACTATCCTACGCAGTCTGAGTCGGGCATCACCACTACCACCGCAAACACCGTCGCTAGTCATGTCGGACATGCCTCGGTCGTAACATCTAGTCATTTCGTCGGGACCCCGGAGAGACTTTCCACGCCTATTTCTCAAAGACATAAGCTTGCCAAAAAAGCCTCCTCTTTTACTTTTTTGATCGTCATCGAGCATCTCTTTGTCACCTCTCTCAGCGGTCATGTCGAAGCTTATACTTTTAGGAATCGCTCCTGTTGATGGTTTGGGACTCTGTACGGCGCTCCCCGATGCGGAAGCAACTCCGTCGGGTACGTCGGCACCAAGAGTACTAGACGTTGGCATACTAACGGATTTGTTACTGCTGTTACAGCTGCTCGGTATTGATATGGCGCATGTTGTTTTGGCGGCTCGAGGTTCCGAGCCTGAAGAACTGCTCGAGGTCAAGCTAGCAGTGCTCAAACGCACCACTACGTCCCCGTTGCCATTCATCAACTCTCCTAAACCTGATTTGATATCGCCATTCGATAATTTAGGACCTTCTGATGGAGTGGGCGGATTGATGTGATTAGCAAGCAATAAAGCAGGCGCAACAGCCGCGGCACCAATATGATTGGCCATTGCCACACCACTGCTCGTGGCAACCTCGACATTATCGCTGGTACTCGATTTGGAATCATCAGTTTGCAGCTTATCCATCAATTGCACCAAATGATCTTCGTTATTCGCGGGAGTAGTTGGTTTGCTACTATTGTTGATAGCTGCGATTCTTACGCTACTGGAATTACTATCAACATAGTCACTGGTGCTGCGCCGGTAGTCTAATCTCGTACCACCACGACCAGTTACGTTTGACGAGGATGGTGATAGGGGTGTCGTCGGTGAGGAAGGTACAGTAGAACGGTTCAAAGCCTCTTCTCGTATCGGTCTAAAAAATTGGCCGGAGTTGTCCATCACTGTGAAAAAAAATGAATAAGTAGTAATTAAGAAAACTAAAAATACTGTTAAGGACTTACTTTGCATGGGAGGTGGCGTATCTTCTCCACCCTCGGGTTCTCCTCGACTTTCTATTTCAGATCTCGCTGTATCGTCGGACCTTGCAACGCTGGCAGTATCATCTGTATCGACTTCGGTCATGCGCTCGGAATCGCTAGCTAAAACGTCGGTACTCCAAGCTTCCGAGGCAGTTTCGCTGACATCCAAATTCGCTTGCAAAGGTTCGGGAACCAGAGGTGGAGGTGGCCTCGGCTGCTCCTGTTGCGGTAAAAATGGAAAACGCTCCTGTTGCTCAATGAATTCGCTGTCCGAGGCCAGTACGTCCGTTGACCAGGTGTCCGACACCAACGATATGGTTTCGTCTCCTTCCATCAATTTTTTTATCTCAAATTTACAAAATTTATCGTCCACATCCGAGCGGCTCTGCTTCGTCGGGATATTTTGCGGTTGCATGCCGTGCTGACGATTTTCTCCGCCAACGCGGCCACCTTCGTCGCCTTCGGTCAACTGAGACGAGGGTGTATCGCGACCAGAAATATTCGGTGTCCCCCTGCCAGATACATTCGCTGATACCATGTCCGATAAGTTATCGTTTTGATCTTCGTTTTCAAGCTCAAGGGAGGAAGCTACGCTGTGATTCGAAGCAGCTTCGGATACCGCCTCCAAGTTATCCGATGTATTACCGATCGATCCTTCGAATAAAACTAAACACAAAGTTAACATTTAATTGGAAATTAGTTTCAGGAAAAACTTGTGGTGATATAATTTCGAATACTCTCGTTTACCTTCGTCGTGGGACAAGGAAAATCTAGTTCGCTTTTCTTGCGTCTCGATTCTGTCGACGTTACTTTCTCGGCCTTGACCGTGACCATTAGCTAATCCTTCGGGTAGATTTATTGCTATCGATTCATTGTCTACCATATTGCCCTGCATACAGAGTACCTAAAAAATAAGTTCATATCGGACATGAAATTGCTGAAAAAAATAAGGAAACGAGAAAATAATAAATTTGTCAATTGCACGCGATACCTTTTGCTCACTGAGTGAGCCGACGGATTCACCGATGGAGGAGTCGAAAGGAATGATCAATACCGTCAAGGGAGCCTTATCCGACCCATCATCTTCTGGCCCTGAAGTTCCGTTAGCATCTTCTCCGTTGTCGGATATTGAATGTTTGCCAGAAATTCGAGCTCCACGTCCTCGACCTACTGCGATTTCAATAAATTGTCATAATCTCAATATGACAGATGGCGAGAGAAAAATAATCGACAGGCATACCTTTGCCAAGTAATCCAGCGGAAGAACTCCTCTTGACCGGAGTGTCGCAGGGCGATGCATTGCTTGACGATACGTTGTTCACAATGGTCGCCGAGTTAACGCTCGTGGGTAATTGAGACAACATCTCGGCCAGCTGCTTTTGATCGAAAATGCGATTGGCAACGATAGGAGCATCGCCGCTGGCTCCTTCGTCTCTCGAAGTTGCAACACTGTTCACTGACTGCAGAAACGTCACTAGATTGTTTAGTTCGGCTTCGGTGAATAAAGCCGCGGATCGTCCTAGACCTTGTAGTTTGCTAGCCTCAATGGTGGTTGGTTCTTCGTCAAGCTCGTCGACGGCCCCGTCTAGCATCGAGTCAAGAATCGATGAGACGGAATCTTTTTCAAAACGTCGGTAGAGATCATTCACCTGTGAAACAGTAATTTTTTTGACTACTTTATAATCACAATTGTGAAAATATGTTATTCTAACAATTTCAAATGGCTTCTGTTTCTTCATAATCATTTTTTCAATTCATCTTCGTCGATTTTATTTTAACTCATAGTAATTTTTATTTTATTTGTAAAATGACTTGCTTTAAATATTGGAAGCGATAATCAGTGTCATTTATAAATGTTTAGCTAATGATTCATTTCATTTTTAAAAATGGTCAAAATTTCTAGGCAAGCTACAAAGTTCGTGTAGAACTGAATCATGTAGTGAGATTGGAAGAATAAGTACAATATAAGTGGTTCTCGTGGATCGTCTTCAAGACCCCTTCCTTTCATATTTTTGTATAAAGGGAAGGGGGAGCTCATAAGGCTTTGTATACGGTTAAATTTACATATTTATACATCAGCATCGATGGTTCAATGGTAGAATGCTCGCCTGCCACGCGGGCGATCCGGGTTCGATTCCCGGTCGATGCAAGACTTGTTTTTTGCAAAATTTAATTTAAAATGAAATTCTATCGCACTGATGGCTATAAAATCGTCGTATTGAATCAAAGTGAATTAGTAAACAATTTTTTTTCATTCATGTCAAACTCAGATAATTGATTCGACTTGACAAAAAAAATTGATAAAGTGAAAAAATAAACGGGAACTACCTTTGAATCAACAGTTTGATATTTCATAAGACACAGCATTTGCAGTATCTGTCCGACTTGCATGAGATTGAAGCGCGCAATGTAGCTTATCGGTGCGTCGGTTATTCCGTAAGGCTCTGGATTAACTATAGCTGGACAAATGAAATAAGTGAACACAAGATCGGTGCACATAGCATGAATTTCTTTTGGATCCACATTTCCAGTTTTGCTTAAAAGTCCAGCCATTTGTCGAACCAACCAACAAATGCACGTTGGAAAACAGTGCATATTCTCCCGAATACTCACTATGAATTTTTGAGTTATTTGAACCAATGAATTTACCTGTCAATAAAAAAATTGGGTTGAGAAAATTATTGACTAATCGAATTAAATATAAATATAAAAAAGAAAAAGACGTACTATCCACTGTCTGTGTCGTTGTACTTTCGTTTGGTAATCTGGAGTACCTTCTTTGCCAAATTTCTTTAGCTTTTCACTAGGAGAAAAACGAATAGGATTTTTGTCTGGATCAATATCAAGAAACACTTCATCTTCCATTAATAATTGAATAATTGGTCCATTTAAAGCAGCTGTTAAAAAGAGTTTGGCTGAGAAGAGACTTTCATGGAATATTGAATAAAATCTTGAAAAAGCAGACGTTCCATGCCGCAGTACTCTCCTAGGATTATCTGACGGAACTACTTGTAATAGAATCATGTGCCTTAAAAGTTTTAAAACTAAAATTTTGTCTTCTGGTAGTAAGCAACTACCATAAAGTCCACTTGCAATTGATTGTATTACATTTTCAATCATTTCTGGTACTACTTTATCTCCTTCAACTAAACAAGAAGCCACAAGTTTTGGTGAAGTTCTTAAGAGACATAAGAATTCCCCATAAGCTATGCATGATTGATAGCGTAAAAGCTTATTTGCATTCAAGAATTGCGAATTTTCCAACACATTTGATCGTTTGCAACAACTTTGTGGGGTACAATCAGGTTTAGACAAAATTAATCTGTTTAAATTGACTCTTTGTTGAGCTGTTATCCATGCTTGTTGTGCTAATGATGATGACAAACTTAGCACCTGCAAAATGAAATATATTTTTTAACATAGTAACTATCATGGAATCATCATTTATTAACTAGTACATCACTAAATTAATTAACTAATCTTCTATAATCAATTTTGTAATAAGAAAGATGAAATTATGCAGAAATTCAAAATACGTTATTGTAAATAAGGTATAAAATAATAAACTGCGTTTAATGATGTAGAACACATCAGAATATTATCTTTTCAACATTTTTAATTCTCTAACAAATGCCTTATGGTCCAGATTTTCTTTAAATATCCAGCAGTTAACTCACTTTCTCATTTAGTTGCTGTAAAGTTTGTTGCTCCGAATTTACAAAAAGTCTTTCTTGGCGTAAATGACCAGATAACTCAATCATATCCCACTGGAGAGTTCCCAAAGACTCAACACTGTTTACTGAAGACATTTTTAGTTGGTAATCTAAAAATAATGCCTCAATTTAATATAAAAACCACAGATATTATGTTATAATAAAAAAAAGGACAGTACTTACATATGAAGAGTTTTTATAAAATGTAGTAAAAAAATATTATTATCTGTAGCTTAGATGCAGCACAGAGTTGTTGATTACATTTGCACACAGTAAAAAATCTGTACAAAAGTAGCTAGATGTAGCACAGTTTCCTGCAACTATACCAGTAATTTTTGATAAGCACAAAGCAGTGCATAGTTCAGCGTATATCAGAATTAGCAGACATCAGCACGGTGGGATAGGTGTAACGCTGGATAGCTCAAAGCTGTTGACTATTGACAATGCTGCATTATTCTGCAGCAGAGTTTGAATTCGAAGGTTGCGTGATTTCGATTACGCACAATGCGCTCGAGCGGATAAAAGTGTCTTTTCCAAAATCAGCTAACAGACGAGTTGCAGCGAGCGTCGAGCATTGTCATTATCTATGCTGGGTTTTTTCACTCACAAAAACCATACGCCTATCTGTGTAGGTCTCGTATCTGCTAAAAAAAATATGAAGAACAGGCATTAAAAAGAATAAAAATAAAGGAGCACTAGACTGACACGAGCTGCAACGTCAGTTACACTAACTGGCGTGTAAATCTCTTTGAAGGAGAGAGCGCGTGTACAAAGAGAAATTATGACAAGTAGCGTTACCTCCTCCGCGTTAAAAACGTCGAAGAGCGGACGAATCGCCGTTGGGCCAGAATTTCGTTCACAATGACAAAGGTGAAAAGAAAACGAGATAGTGCTGTAGCAAGTACAAAGTGTATGACAACCCACGCATTAGGCACTGCTGCTGCGTGCGATCACGCCGTTGTCGCTGTGTTGTTGTTGTTGTTGTTGTTGCTGCTGTCTTACTTGGTCGTAGAACGAATTGCAGCAGTAGTAATCTTGAGATATATAGTAGTAAGCGTTGAGTTGAGTGCAGGTGGAGATCGTTGAATCGAACAACGTGAATCGAACTGTGCGTGTGCATATAATAAGAAGGAGAGAGAAACAAGTGTTGTGATAGCTGCAGACAGGCTCAGCGAAGCTCACGTACTATACTATACTACGCTGACTCGTACAGCACTGGCTTGTGCAATGTTGCGCTTCGATGTATGGGAGACAGCTCGGAGCACGACTCCACGGCACACAGACACTCATGTACACGAGAGTCCCGCACACAGACTACGAAGGCGCATCACGCGAGAAGCGCATAATATACAAAGGCCTGTTTTTTTTTCTCACACATCTGCGTATAGCTGCTGCCAGTGTGTGTGTGTGTGTAGACATCCGCTCTCAAAGCCTTCATACACACGACTCTGCAGAGAGCAAAAAAAATATATACAAGCGGAGAGAAGGAGTATTAAAGCGGAGCAGCTGCTGCAGCGAACTGCTTAGCCTGTAGCCGCGCGATAATTGGGTACGCGTTCTACGCTCGACTCGACTCGTTGTTGCGATCTCGCTGATTCGAGCGCCAACTACTTACGCGCGTCTCCGAACGTAATGCTGATTTAGCACTGATCATTTGTAAATGAACGGGCATTTGGAGCACCTGAAATGCCAATCGAAAACGCGCATTTTTTTCGTCTCGTGTCGAACTCGTCATTAAATGAGTTTTGACATTCGATTAGGTGACACACTTTCCAAGTACGTACAACGTCCTCGCGACAAAAGTCAGTGACAGCTGTGGTGATTGTAGCAATATCATATATAATTTAGCGCGCGGTGCATCTCACTCGATCGTTGATAAAGCAACGTTTTTCCTTATCGATGCGTTCCAGCTGCGATTCATAAGCTGCATTTCAGATTTGGCGCGTAATTTCTATTCTGATATCACACGAGCGTGTACGCGTATAAAAAATAATTGCGCGAGCAGCCGAAAAAACTCGCAACGATCGAAATTGTTGCCGATGAAATTTGTTAGAGCCGTCGAACTTGGATTGCTCCGAACTCCAAATCGAGTGCGGCGCTCGTATCTCGTACAGTAATCTAATCGTGTAATCTTGACAACACTCGTCAAGATCGACGGTTTAGAATAGATGTTGTCCACCGTAATTATTTTGACGAGCAAATCGATCGCGATGCGACGTCTCGCGGAACGATTGGAGTTTGCGCGCGAACTCGACTGCAGCCGAAATAAAAAACTCGATGCGCACACGAATTACCATGTCTCGACAAATATGTATAATACGATACACCTAGGATCACGGCTTGCATGTATAAGAAGCTGTGTCAAGTACATACTCTGCGCGTTGACTGCCACATCGTCCTTGATCCAGACTCGAGAGAAAAAAGATGCTCTTGGAGCTCGCCTCGCTCGCTTTTTCGTCCGATCCTTTGCGCTATACAAGATCCACGCGTGTAATAATGATACATCAGGACATGATCTGCTGCTCTGCTCGGCTCTGGCCGCGCGCGCGCGCCAATTGCTTTTTCAAGGTCAGCGCGCTGCTGCGTATGCGGTATCTATACAGCAGTGTTCTCGACGACGAGAAGAAATGAGTCCATACACCCAAGTTATTAAATACGAGAGCAGCGCGATGTAATGGCCCATGATTCTCTCCGTAGCCTGAATATACGAGGGCCAAGCAGCGAGTTACGATTAGAAACTCGCACTACCAGGAGAGGCTCGATAGGCATTTTTCACATCACAATGAAAATTGCAATTACCGAACGAGTACGGTGTGCCAAGAAAAATTTCACTCGTCTCCAAGTATTTTGGCCATTTTTGCGACTACAAGTTGAAAAACTGTAAAAATGAATTTTCGAGTCATTTCACTCGAACTATTTCCTTGGGGGATCGCTCAGCCAATATTATACGTTCAAGTCGTACCGGGCAAGGTTCAAATGTTCAAGGTCGCTCAGCACGCGTGCACACGAACAAGTGCGAGACCACACATATGCGATGTACTGTCGGTACACTTGTTTTTAGGAGTGCGCCAACGACGTACAAGTAAAACCCGAGCGATGCGTCACTCTATATACAATATACTGCCCTGCGGTCTTTGTACTCTTTAACAGGTATTAGAGTCATTTAACTTTACGAGCTCGACGTAAGGACTTGTCAAAACAGCTCGTGCGGCTGCGCAGGCCGTGGCCGCGCGCCGTCTTTTCATCCCATTTACGAGAGAATCGCCAGCTTTTATTACATCTCGCTCGCAGGCTGCTAACACCTTCTGCGAGTCGTCGTATTGCTTCGATTCTTTCGTCAAATTCAATTCAGTTGTATGAAATAAAAAGAATCAACTTTTTCAAGTGAAAGTTACGCAAATATCGCGCGATGGATCATTTGCATACGGTCAGATTCATACACTGATTCAATATTGTTCTGCATAATCGAATAAAAACTGGTGCAAATTCAGGAAGGATTATACAGAGGAAAAAATATACTCCTTTGGTAATGGTTCGTAGGATCATAATGTAAAAAATCAACAAGAGATAAGAAGTTAGTCATAACTTCACCGTGCGGTATAAACTCCAGAGCTCACGGTTTATAATGTTTATTGTAGGTGCTACGATAGCTTATAATATGATTTTGTTAGATTTTGAAGATGCCATTGTATACCACATACAAGGCCAAAATCGATGCTTGCGGCTTTATGCGACTTGAGATCTTTTACCTCGGTAATTGAGTGCATATCAATTGAAAAAAAAGAAGTTTATTTTTTTATTCATTTATTTATTTGAATCTGCAATGTAAAATAATACCAGAATAGAGTGAATATGTTTATCGTCATTGCGAGCGTTGGCCTCTTGTCGCCAAGTAAATGCGCCACAAATCATCGTTCATCAGCTGCTCGATGATCAAATCACAGCAGAGAATCGGCAGTTGGTACGATGTCAACTCCAAGAAAGAATCTAGTACCCATCTGCGAAAACGTTGCATTTTCTTGAACGGCACGTGATCCGGACATGTGATTTTTTTCGCTGCCTCATTGGGATCTAAACGGATCAAGTCCAAGAGCGACAGGTCGTAATTGAGATTCTTATTTATCATTATAATATCTTTCATTTGAACCGGGGTACATCTGTCGGTACGCAAACATTTGTCAAGATCTGCCGACATCTCGAAATATGCGAACTTGGCGAAAAATGGCATGATTGTTCGGGCGTCACGTCGTTCCAATCCGTATCCTCCTTCCTCAAGTATATTGACTATGTCCAGAGCGTTAAACAACGATCTATATTTAATAGTTTTTACATTAAAAGTTGAATAAATTTAAAATTAAAAAGACAATTTCAACATACCGTGCAAAATCCTCGCCGGTGTGAGCCATAGTGGGAAAAATGAAGCTAGAGAGATCGGCACCATGATACAAGAGTGTATCAACTGCAGACGGCAAAAGATTTGCCACCGCCCAATGAAGCGGTGTCCAGCCCAAGTTGTCTCGGGCATTGATCTCTACCGGCTGATTTCTGTAGTCGTTGCTCTTGAAAAATCGATTTACCATGTCGCGATTGTAATTTCTCTTGCACATTAAGTGTAGAAGAGTTAACCCCTCCAGATTAGCTAAATTTGGTTTGACACTTTCGATCAACCATCTGGCAAAGTTTGTGTTGTCACAGGACAGAGCCAAGTGACACGGAGTGTTACCTAACTTGTCTTGGGCGTCGACCTGTACTTGCTTAAAATTTTCGTCCATGATCTCGAAGAATAATGTTGCGAAGTTGAACAAGCGCTTATCCTTACTCATAATGTGCAGAGGAGTCAATCCCTCTTCATCGGCAACATTTGGATCTGCGTCTCTTATCAGCAGCGATTCGGCCAGTTTCTCGTGGTTTCGGATCAGAGCCAAGTGTAGCGGTGTCCGACCTAATTTGTCTCGAGCATTGACCTGCACTGTTTGATCCTTGCGATCGTTTAGCAGGAAGAATAGCTCATTCAAGTCATCATCGTACTTTCTTTGACAAATCATATGTAAAGGAGTTAATCCCTCCACGTCAGGTAAATTCGGATTACGCCATTTTTAATTAGCACTCGAACAATCTTTGTTTCACAGTCATCGGTTAGAACATAGTGTAATGCTGTCCGGCCCAAATGGTCTTGAGCGTCGACGTGCACCAGCTGATTGACTTCTTCGTTGAGCTCAAAAAATATCTTCGCCAAGCCAAATTCGTCGTCTCTTTGGCAAATAATGTGTAAAGGAGTCAACCCCTGCGCGTTGGCCAAATTTGGATCAGCACTGTTATTCAGCAGCACTCGGACAATTTGTACTTTGCAACCCTTGGCTACAGCGTAGTGCAGTGCGGTTTGACCTGAATTGTCAACGGTGTCAACCTGCAACGGCTGATGCCTTTTGTCACTGATCTCAAATAAAATATTCGCTAAGACACCATCATTAAGTTCGTCTCTCTTGCAGATAATGTGAAGAGGAGTCGACCCTTCGGAATTGCTTAAATTTGGGTTGGCGCCATTTTCCAGCAGCAGTTGGACAATCTGTTTTTTACAGTCGTGGCTTACAGCATAATGTAGAGGTGTTTGACCTGTTTTATCCTGGGCGTCGACTTGCACCATCTGATGTTTTTCCCTGCTGATCTTGAATAATATGTCCGCCATGCCGTGATCTACACGTTCGTCTCTCTTGCAAATGATGTGCAGAGGAGTCAGACCCTCCGCGTTGGTCAAGTTTGGATTGGCCCCACTTCGCAGTAGCAATTCGACAATCATTTTTTTATAACCGTCGGTTAAAGCCAAGTGTAGCGGTGAGTTACCCAAATTGTCTTGGGCATCTACACGAACCGTTTTATGAATTGCATCGCTGACCTCGAATAGCATTTTCACCAGAATATGATCGTTAAATTTATCTTTTTTGCAAATAACGTGTAATGGAGTAGATCCGTCTTTGTTAGCCCAATTGGGATCAGCGCCGCTTCTCAGCAGCAATTTGGCCACTTCACTTTTGTAATGAGCCAGAGCCAAGTGGAGCGGCGTATCACCTGTTTCTGCTACCACGCAAGTGGGATCTTGACCCAATTCAAGGAATTTTCGGACGACATCCTCGCAACCGGACATGCAAGCCAAGTGAAAATGCGTTAGACCGTACTCATCGATATAATTCGAGTCGAACTTGTCATATATTTCGAAGAGGTCACGAACGAGGCTGAATTCTTCTTGTCGAACTGCGTAATGAACTGGTGTGGTGCGACGAATCAGTGGTGTACCATCTTTAGCCTGCACTTCAAGTTCGTCCTTGTAGTTAGTCTTAACCACAAAATTAATGAGTAGTTTTGGCTCGATCACGCCATTGTTGGACTTGACTGATTCTGTTAGAAGCCAATCAATTTCATCGGAACGAAAAATATCTCGAAGATTTGGATATTGATCCGTCCAATTTCTAATCAAAGGATAAAGCTGACGGAGAAATTCATGTCGTTCTTTTTCGACTCCCCAATTGAATTTTTCACGCATGCTCTTCAATTTTTCCAAGTCGGACGTAGACATCGTTCTATTCACTCACACACGAACACAGTAGAGAACAAAAAGAAGTTTTACTGACTTTTTTCACGAGAATCACTTTTTATGGTCGACGTAATCTTTCTTTGTTCGCGCTTCGGAGTTGGACTTTGCAGTGCGTTCTGATCGAGCTCAAACTGTCACACTCTTAGGGACACTCTTGAAACAAAATGATTCGAGCGCTGTGATTGGTCGGCGCTCTTAACTGCCACTTCCTCCCCTTCTCTGCAGCATGCATACGAGCAAGTGGCGTTCGGCGAACGGTGTGTCATACCTCCGAAACGTCTACGCAACGTCGTGTAACTCCGTCTCGCTCTATCGTTCGCACTCTGCGTGTTCGTGGCTTGCGTGTAGCTCGCTCGGCCAAATAAATAACGAACGTTGCATTACAGGAACTTTAACTTCGCGCGCATATCTCGTAGATGTATTAGACAAATTCGGACCTACACTTGTGTATTAATTCTGTTTTGGTAAATATAACTGTTGATGAATAATTTACATCGTGTACTACAGGTACATGAATTTTTTAATAAGTCGAACTGAGCTAAACGCCATCGAATTTTATTACTAAAATCATATGACCAGCCAAAAAGTATTAATGAAAAACTGATTCGAATAAAATTAACTAACGAAAAAAAAAATTACACCACAAAAACAAATGCAATTGAACAATTTTATAAAATAAAATGAAAAATCAATTCAAAATTCAAGTAAATCAAAAAATTCGATTAAAAAAATATATTGCAAAAACCATTTGTACATTGATTCAAACAATTCGTCACAAATGTTACATGGTAAAGAGATTCGAGGTAAATTTTTTAACCAAATAATTGTTGTTACAAGTCACATTCAAGGGGGTTGCTGAGATTATGTACTGCATTGATATCTTTTTTGGAGGTTACATTTCTGTCCAAATGATTTGTGACATATCTCACACTCGAAGAGTTTGACCGGATTATGTACTGCAGTATATCTCACAATCGGTTGGTAGCTTTGACACTCAATTTTGCAGATGGTAGTCGTTACAGACTTCAGATCAGATTTTTGCACTCAAATGGTATGAATACTTTTCCATTTAACTTGTCTCGAAATTTTATAGCTTTATTCGTATGATTCGGCTAAAACTGGAATTGTATAATAGTTTTTGAACTCACTGTACCTCAAATTAAGCAACGTATAAACATTTGCTTACTGCATGGAATCTTCTTGCTTAGCGACCGAACATATTGCTCGTGATGGATTTTATAGCCGGGCACTCGGATGAGCTAGTAAAGGTACACCGAAATGTCAATGAAAATCTTTTCTTCTCAGGTGCAAATTTTGCTTTTGGTGTTGATTATTATTATATCGCACAAGCGATCGAAAATCGACGCTCCTGTGCACGTGTTCACCGCTAATGATGACATTATGCGTTATGCGATTTCAACCGCTATAATTACTCGGCCGAACGATCGGATAAAACGTCCGTTCGACTGAAATATTTTGCGGTTGTTGCGTGTGCGCGTATTTATTATAGCTTTTTGCTTATTAGATTTATTTTCCACGATCACGATCATTAGGGCGAAGGTTACCTATAAAATTAAAACATTTGTGGTTGTCGAGTTTTATCCTTTGCCACTCGACGAGATTACGAATCACGCACTGCCGTAATAATATGTTTTTTCTTTCTGGACTCGCATCGCTAGATTTACGGCGACCCCTCTTTAATTCGAGCATAAATGCGAAAAGGTCTGATATTTTCCAGCTGCGCACGTGTGTTCAAGTTCGTTACACTTGACGATTTTCATCGGCTGCTACAATAATTTGCGTGTTCGAGGTCACTACGTACTCAGGTGCGTTTTTTTTACAATATCGATGACTCTTACTATTAACTCTTAGTTGAAGCCAAAGTCAGACCATGTCAATATTTCGTTTTGTTTCTTTAAGAATGTGAAGCAAAATTCAGAATCTAATAAAAAATCTAATAAAAGGATCTAATAAAAAGAAAATCAGTCGACATAGGTCGACGAATCGAAATGATTCGAGCGACTGCAGTGGCTGTTTAGCGAAAACAGCAGTAACCGCATCAGCAACACCGATCGTTGCGCAGAGCTGCGATAATCGGAGCACGTCCATCGGTAAGCTCTGCCAGTATTACATCACTTATGAGCGCCTATAAGTATAGATCGAGTACTCGAGCGCACGCGAATGTGTGTGCATGTTTATAAACACAAACACGAGCACAATACAATGCACCAGAAGGAAAAGAGTGTGCGAGAGAGAAGCGCAGAGAGTGGAAAACGGCGAGAACAAATCGACTGGCCGGCCAGTACTGCGCTCAATGTGCTGCACAGTAAGAACGACGAAGAGTGGAATGACGCGCATATACGCGTATACACGTATGTATAAGGTATACACAAAGTAGACACGTCGTTATATTTTGCCATTCGTGTGCGATCGCGAGCGTGTGTATATGCGAGTGCAGTGCAGAATGTCCCGCACACACACACACACACACACACTTACAAAAGCGTGTACGCTAAGTATGCTACGCGCGACGAAGAAAGCAGCCAGTGCAGACGAGCGCGCCAATATGCGTGCAGGCGCAGCCACGATTCTCTATACATATAGTTGCTTCCTCGAGTGCTTCAGTGGCTCGTTAACGCTTCGCGGGCAAGCAGCAGCTCGAGACTCGCTGGAAATCGCCTCGGCTTTGGGAGCTTGCGAGCTGCAATTATTTGTCGCTCGATCGGCAGTGGATCATACCTAATACATAAACTCGAGAGGAGCGCGACAAAAAACAATCGAGAAAGCCGCTCGCGATCATCGCCGTTGCCATTTTTGCCCGCGAGTGCCGGGGCTTATACGTGCCGCGATCAAGTGTCTCGGTGCCAGTGAACGAGGTAATACAAGAACTCGCCAGCCAGATCTCCTCGACCCTTTTTCTCGGATCCGCGCGTATAATTTCGGCAGCTCGTGCGCCGGCCGGCTGCAGCTCACTCGCGAGTCACGAGCGCAGTATCTATAAGTAGTATAGGCCAGCTGGGCTGCTCGCCGAGGGCCGCGCGCCACGAGCCGCGTACACGAGACAGATCGGTGTTGTATACACCGCAGCGAGCGAGCCGTGCAAACGAGTGAGTGACCGGTGCCCGAGTGAGAGGATCCGACTGTCGCGATGATGCCCAACGTAGCTGTGGCAGCAGCAGCAGCAGCAGCAGTGGCAGGCGGTGGCAGTGGCAGCGGCGCCACTACACCACTCGTGCACCTCGAGGCTCGCGCTCAGCTACTCGGCGGTAGTCTGCTTCTGTACTGCAGCAGCGACGACGACAGCGAAGCAGCCCACCACACTCCGTAGCGATTCGGCACTGCGCTGACTCTACTACATAGTACATACCCATCTAGTTGTGTGTGTGTGTGTGAGTGTGTTTTACCTATAGCAATATATATTGACAAAAATTCCGTTGCACTGTTCGGAGTTATTCGATCGGTGCCGAGGATCGTGCTCATCGGTAACGACGACGTATACGCGTCAACGCATCGGAGCGCAGCATTGCCATGGGGTGATCGCCACCTCGCTTCCTCATAGTGACACGCGTATCTTATACAATAAAAATAAATATCCGTGCATGTGTGCTCGATTCGGGCCAGTTTCCCGATTGGCGGTATATAGTGTACGCGCTCGAGACAACGCGATGATCTGCTCCTGACTGCGACTGACTCTACTGCTGCTTTCCTACCCCCGCAGCGCTTAACCCGAGGCCAACATGCTCAACTGCACCGACTTGGAGTGCATACTCCACCATCATCACTACTACGTGCATCTTCAGCAGCTGCAGCCCCACTCGAATAACAATGGTCGGTATATCATGCATCTTATACTATCTTAGACGTAAGCTCGGTGAATAAAGCCGAAAAAATGTCGCAATTGCGCTCGGCGAGGATCATCGTCCAAGCTCCTGTCATCGGGCTGTTACATAGAATCGCGCGCGCGCGCGCGACCAAAACAAAATAAACGCTTCTTATCGGCTTTATATGTGAGTGGAATTTTTTTTTTTTTTTTTTCATATGTTCGCCTCGTCAATCGAGTCGTTTATACCTCTTTTATATTTTTTCTGTTTTTCCGTCTTTATCTTTCTTTTTAGTTTTGTATTTTTACAAATGCATTGGACACGATTAAATTATGCACGTGCACTGCCGCCGCTCAAGCTGAAACCCGTCCCGCGGCGCGCGAGTCTTTATACACTTGCGAACCAGTCGCACAAGAGCAATTGGCACAAAAACCCAGTGAAATTTGTGGAAAACTCTGTTGCGCGCGATGTCTCTTTTCTCTCCTTCTTTCTCTCTGTCTCTCTCTCTTTGCTTTTCGCTATTACGTTGCGCAAATTTCGAGCGCGTCAAAAGTTGACATTTCCTGCGTTTACCGATCTACTATATCGGCGCGCCTAAGTACGACAATCTGCAGCGAGGTAAAGGAGCTCGTTGAGCGATAGGCTCTCTAAGGTCGATTCGCGTGTGTTATACGGTGCACTCGACTAATAAGCGCGCTACTCTCGTCACGCAGATAACACGACTCTCGGTCTTTGTTTTTGGCTTTTCAGTCGCGCGAGGCTTTTTTCCTTCCTCGCAGACACGATTCGATTTTTCTTCTTTATATCGCGCGCTCGACGTATATATACATAAGTACGCCTCTCGTCGGAGCTTAAAAATATCGCAGATTTTCTCGCTCGGATTCCACCGCGCGCCGCACAACAACAAACAAGAGTATAAATTTAACGCGGCGTTAAAGCATACACACACAGACGCATGCACCGCGAGTAAAAGCCGCAGAGAGACGCGTGACGTATAGATGTTTGTTGCTCGTTCGCGTTCGCACGTGTTTGTCTCTCTCTCTCTCTCTCTTTTCCTTTGCAAAACTCGAAACGTTATACAATGTAATAATAAAAAATAATCGTTAATAATCGTTGCAAGTACGAGCCTTGCGAGTAGCCGCGCACGAGTTGTGGATAAAA